GCAATTGCATAAATGGATAGTAAAGCCGATTGGTTTAATGCAAATAATTTCAGAACATTAGAGCTTGTGCCATAACAGCAAAACATATACTGTAGACCAGCAAAGATGCTAGTGTTTCCACCATGTTTAAAATTATAGCTCTGTCTTAATCCTTTATTTTATATACAGTATCCATCAAAACAATGTAGGTAAAGTGATTTAATTGGAATTTATGATTGGATGGGGAGAAGTAGAACCCAATGAGCTTTTGAAAGACAGAAATGAGAGTTCCAGGCTTTAAGACTCCTCTTCCTGCATGGCATTGACCATATGACACTTGCTCTGCTTTGGGAGACACTGAGGTATCTGACATCAGAAGTAAGAAATAGAGTGATTTTTTTCCCCTTGAGTTGTATTCCATCAAATGGCTTGCTGATGTATTCTCTGAATGGTCTACATTTTCCAGATGCATTAGGAAAATGGATAATGTATGAGGAATGAGTCCACAGCATTATTTTTCTTATGGAGATGCATTGTTTTTTTCTCTTCAATAAGTACAAAAATGTATGCGTGCATAGGCATATGAAGAAAATAGATATTACATGAAATACTAACTATAAACTTTCTTTGATCCATTTCAAACCTTGTTTATAGAAATATGCATGAAAGAAAATAGTATCACTTTCAATTTAATTTTCAAAATGACCAGGTTTTGAAAAGGAAGGGGAAAATCATATCCAAATATCTCTGTGTTACATTTTTTGTACTATTTCTTACATGTTTGTGTTTCAAGTTGATTTATTTTTAAATTCTAGTTTAGACGTTTCAAAACTGTATTACTTTATGTAAGACATTCTACTCTTTTGAAGCAATAGTAAGTAACAAGAGTCACTTTGGATAGTGTGATCATATACATTTAATAAATAAATAAAGTGGAAAGAACAAAAATAATGGGTTTTCTATTATTTGAGGTGTGATGGCTTTAATTTCTATTCTATATGATGGAGTTCTGTTCCACACAAGCATTTGATTCGGTGGCTTCTACAACTTTGCATATGTAACTCTTTCGTTCATAATGGTGTTCACATTCCACATCACATAGTAGATCTATGAGATAAATCTTCTCTCCATCAAGATCAATTCAACGTGTCCATTTATATATTGGAATGGATTCTAAACTAAGCACCCCCATCTGAGATATGACTACAAAAGCTTTGAAGCACTATCTGTTGACTTCCACTGCCAATTATGCAGGACCGGAATGAGAAATTGCTGTCCTGTTTTTGTGAAAAGAATAACAAAACCTATCAAACTGATGTGTATAACTTTGTGTATGCAGGAGTGTGGTTCAAGAACACATTCAGCTTTTAATTGAGTTGCTGGGAGCTTTATGCTGGAATCTGAGAGGGGACAATACAGAGAACTGAGCAGCACTCACAGGAAATAAGTCTAATTATATTTAGTTGAAAATAACTTGATGAGATTGCCCCATGTTTTCAATCATGATCTCTTTTGTTTCACTGCTATTTACTATTAAGCAGCAAATTCTCTGGCATAATTCAGAGTTGAGTATTTCCAGCATTCTGTTACAATGCAGTGATTGATTGACAGACTCCACACCCAAATCATAGGTTGAGTATGGCATCATACTCAGATTTATCATTTTAACTAAATCAGGGATTGTATATATAGAAAAGGCTATAAAGAGATATGTGTCTGGCAGGAACTTAGCATAGAAATTTATTTGGAACCAATAAGAAATCCATATTAAAATGCTTCAATGTGTTATTCTAGCTTATGGCCTTTTATATATATATGTACTTTTTGTTTGCTTCCATTGATCACATTTCAAAATACAACCTTCCAATTCAACAATAGTTATCCAATGGCAAACAGTTCTTTTTATTGGTTTACATTTGGCAGGTCACAGTCACAACCACATCAGGCAGTAATTGCAAAGAGACCACCCTGAATTTTGAAGACTTTCCCTGTTTTAACTTCTACTGGGGGATAGGAGAAACAGGCAGCCAAAAAGGTGACTTGTTTTGAACACTGAGACCATCATTCTTTGCTGCATTAATTTTAAATACAGCTAAAAGAAATGTTTGGAATACTTTTTTTAAAAAATGTACAGATAGTCCTCGATTTACAACAGTTCATTTAGTGACCATTCAAAGTTACAGAGGCACTGAAAAAAGTGACTTATGACCATTTTTCACACTTACAACCTTTGCAGCATCCTCATGGTCACGTGATCAAAATTCAGACCCTGGGCAACTGACTCATAGTTATGACGGTCACAGTGTCCCGGGGTTATGTGATCCCCTTTTATGATCTTCTGACAAGCACTGGGGAAGCCAGATTTACTTAACAACCATGTTACTAATTTAATTTAACTGCAATGATTAGCTTAACAACTGGGGCAAGAAAAGTCGTAAAATGGGGTAAAGTTCAGTTAACACCTGTCTCACTTAACAACATAAATTTTGGGCTCAATTGTGGTCATAAGTTGAGGACTACCTGTATTTGCTAGGTGCGCTGATAACATTTAAGCTTGACCAAATGTTTTCTTTTTGTTGAAAAAATGCTTTTTTTGCGGTAGCAGTAAAATATGATTTGAAACCATCTCGCGTGTGTTTGTGTGTGTGAAATAATTTGCAAAATACCTTTTTTTTGCCAATATTTGGAAATATTATTGGGAAATCAAGGACCCTAATCCTATACACTACAAAAATTTGGTGACAGATCCTACCCTGTAAGAATACAACGGATCACAGCTAATGCATTAGGCATTCATAACCTGAACATTTTCCAAAGACAACTATAGGGTGAGGTCTATACAAATATATCTGATCTCATAGAAGCATACAAAAGTCTTCAAAAGCCAGATTGGTCTCAAGAAATAACTCTTTATTCTGAGACAGTTACCATTACTTCATTTTTTAAAAAATGACAAAACAGCAATAAACACTTCGGCTCTTTAATGAGCAGATACCAGGTCTCTTAGCATTGGAATAATTATAATGTTCATTATTCAGATTAGCTTTTTATTTTTCACTCAGTAGAGCCAGCATTAGTGGCCCAGAAGTACAAAGAATTTTCCCCATCAAGTTGTATACAATTTGTTGTATGTGTAATAAGCTTTCAATCTTGAAAAAGAGTAACTGAAAAAGAAACATTTTCTGTTACTGCAGTTAGTTTGTCAGAGAAAGTTCTGCGCGTTATCTTACAAACTATCAAAATTGCTAGTCATTTGAAAAAATGCAAAATAAAATAAAAATCACATAACTGTACTCTAATAGAAATATAATACAGGAAAAGAGAAACTGTAATCACCAGGGCTGTGCTCTTTAGTCCATCTTATTTTTTTTCCTCTTTTTTTAAAATATATAAATGTATGATTATACATACAAACTTTTTTTTAATGACCACGACAGACCATTTTTAAAAAAAAAAAATTGAAAAGTAACTGGGAGGTAAGGGCAAAAGGGCAAAGATCATCCTGTCATTTTAGCCTACTTTTGTTTTCAGATCCAGACAATATTAAACAAGATGCAGAATTAAACATTTCCAGATTATTCCACATTATTCTAATCGCAGTATCAATAAAGTACAGGAATCGCCTCTTTTTGTACACTCTGTGGTTCACTCATGATACACAAAGCAAAAAGGGGAGTCCCTTGGAAATCGTGAAAGTGAATTTGTTCTCATGCAATGTAATTGGCCGTATGAATAAGTGAAAGTTGAAATTTGTTGTGATCATTTTTGGAAAGGTCACTTTTACCTCTGGCAACGCATTCCTAGCAAATCAATCTTAGAATCTTCCTTGTTCTTTTGATGTTGTCGTGGTTCTGTTCACTGAACTATTATTCATGTAAGTGAAAGGGATTGTAATGAAACTAGACCCAAATGGGGATTACTTCATCAAAAGATGCTCTATTAAATGTAACTTAATAGCATGGTGGTGATGGAGTAGGGAGAGATTATTCTCATTTACCATTGCATTTACCTTTCACATTATTTCACTGCTGAACTCTTAGAGGGGATTTTTTTCTCAACATGTTGCCTATCAGATAATCTTTGACTTCACTGTCAATTTTCCACCAAAAATAAGCCCAATGCATCTGAAGCACATTAGGTTGGGAAAAACTGACAAGTCTCTCTGGAAGCTACCTCAGTGACCTCCATTACTGGAAGGCAGGGGTTTACTTACAATTTTTTCCCCCTAGAAAACAAACCTTCCTTCAGTTAGGCCAATCAAGGAAATAAGTTTCTGATGGACACTCCAATGGCATGAGAAAGATTTTAATGACAGCTTAATCAGCAGCACACCCACCAAGCATAATAAATTATCATGCACGTTGTGCGAAAAAATATTCAGTTCTTTTATTCCCACAATGTTTATACCGACAGCACTTGTGTGATAATGTTGAAGCTGCCAGATTTCCAAAACATGGTTACTTTAAAAAAAAAAAAACCAAAACAAACTGGCAGATCTCAGTACATGAGCCTGTGTCTAAGGCCTTTAACAGCTTTGATGCTTTGGATACCGACCCAAAGGTGTAAATATGGTCTACACAAGAAAACAGTTCCAAATAAAAACTGGTACAAATGATGTGACATTCCATCAATGTGTTCCTTGTGCATATTTATAGAACTTTTAATTTTTAATTTTTCAGTTGTAGTTTCTCTCCCACTCCTGTGTGGCACGTGCCTAATTCCATCATGTAACTTAAATTCTCAAAAAAAATTAATAGAGTGTGAATGTAAAAAGTACCATTCAAGACAATTGCTTCAAGCAATTGCTAAAGTTATGCTTTCTCTTTTTTTAAAGTTCATTTGTATATATGTACAATTCATTTTTCCCAATTCCCTCAAGTTCTCGATATGTATATTCACATAATATTCCTCCAAATTTAAATAATAAGAGTCTTGTAGGGTTGAAAGCCAAGTTAAGTCTTCAGCAATTATAACCCACTGGAATCCACCCCCAAAATAAAAGTTCATATCATCTTGTTTGGCTATACCCTAGTTGTTGAATGTGAATGAGGATGTGGATGGGGCAGAGTGCTGTTCTGTCCACCGGTAAATGTATTAAATGTGTGTAAGGGTTGTATCCCAGGTATAGTGTTTGGAATCATTGTAATCGTGTTGGGGGTCATTAAAGGAATATCGTCAGGTGACCTTCTCATAGCTAGCGTGTAGTCTGGGGGGCAGGCGGTCCTAAGAACCACCTCATGTGGATGAATGGATTCACATTCATGACCCAAGTCACTGTGCTTCATTTGGAGGGACATTATTTCCTCTTCTTGTGCGTGGGTGAGATCATTGGCAGTCGTACGCTGGGGGCTACATCGCCGATGCCCGTCATGTCTCCGCTTGTCCTTTTTGTAGTATAATGCTGCAAAGGCTAAGATGTTCAAAAACAGCAAGGATGCTCCCACGGCAATGGTGACACTCAACTCCGTGGAATAGTCTCTTTGATCTCCTGAAATTAGACTCGGTGGTTGTTTGGGATCATCTTGCTTGGCTGTAGGAAAAGCTGATGTTACAGGTACCAAATTTTTCCGGGTTGGCCTGAAAGTAATATCAGTTGATGGCACTTTAGTTGTTGTAGAGGTATACTGTGAAATGTCATTAAGATTATGCAGGTGAGGTACTAGTTCCAGCCACAGGTTCACCTTGTTAGCTCTGTAATGTTCCTTCACTCGTGGTTTTAATCCAATGTGAAGATAAAGTTGATCTTTTTGAGAGTATCTGGTCCATGCTACCTCCTCAAAACGATTAGGTTTTGTGTGAATGAACTTAGTATCTTGTGGAACTGGTTGATTGGGATCCCTAGGAGAAAAACGGGAAATGTCAAGCTTTTTTGAAAATTGGTGTTTCTTTTAAAAGTATTTTTTTTACCTGCTTAGCAGAACATTTCACAAAACACGGTCTTAAATTAGAATGAATTAAGAATATGATTAACATTCAGCCTTACTCATATTAAAAGAACAGACTGCATGACAAGTGTTTTAAATCTAGATCCATTTTTTTTCCTAAGCATAGAGCAAAATACAATGAAAAGTTCAGGTTTCATTATATTATATTCATCATCATCATCATCATTATTGTTATTATCATCTTCACAATAATAATAGAGTGCGATAATATAATACTGCATTAGCAAAATCAAGGTTCAAACAAGTTCAGAATAATTTTCCTATAATAGCTAGCTAGGTGGAAATTTAGTTTGGTCTAAATTCAGTCTATAGTACAATGCACATTGTATATTGGCTAGGTCTGACCATTTTTATTGAAGTTATTTAACACATTCTGCAATTGTTATTACCTGCTTATTTCCACAAAACTATGTTTTAAGCCATCGGTATATATCTTTATGCAAAAATTATATTTTTGTGCTTGTAAAAATTCTCCAAATATATGCACCTCTCCAAGCTACTTCTTTCGTATATCTGGTTTAGCAAGGTATACTGTAAGGCCAATTTCCATTCTTGGCTTATTTGTTTTTCTTTCACTCCTGGAGCTAATTTTGATGAACATAATAGTTTTGAAGGTGAAGATTTCCCTTACGCAATCTTTCATGAATAATCCATCTAATATACTTTTCAAAAAACATTTTAAATAATGTTACATTAAGTGCAGTAGCAATAGATGTCTTTGCAGCCATAAATCAGCCAATTATTTTCATGATACTTGATCATAACAACAAGGATTTTCAGAATATTCCAACATTCTGAATTTATCAATTCACTGTAATTCCTGCAATGACCTTATAATGCAGAGTTATTTGCTCACTGTCTCAGTGTTGCTGCAGATATCTATGCATTAATCAATGTAGTGCAATTTATCCCTTTATGTTTACTAGATGCATGTGCTGAAAGTTATTCATCATCAGATCCTGCTAGAATTCCTTCAAATGAGAGTTACCCACCTTTCTCAGACATCTGTCTGTTACTCCTTTCTGCCTGAAGCAGAAAAACAAGGAGTTTTTCTATGTGGGAGAAAATGGTCAGAGCATAAAAATTCAATCATCTGTAAATTTTAATGATTCTTCATTAGAAATAGTTTTTCTTTCCAGTGTGTGCTAGTGCTTGTGGGGATATCTGTATTAGATTTTGAGAGTTGTCCAGGTCCATTATAAATTCCCTGAAACTATTTAAAATGTCCACGATTCAATTTCTACACTGTACTTCTTTAACAACCTACACATACCGGTAGTCCTTGACTTATGATCACAGCTGAACCCAAAATTTATGTTGCTAAGCAAGACATTTGCTAAGTGAGTTTTGCTGTCACAGTTGTTAAGTTAGTAACACGGTTGTTAAGTAAATCTGGTTTCCCCATTGACTTTGCTTGTCAGAAGGTTGCAAAAGGGGATCACATGACTCTGGGACACTGCAACCGTCATAAATACATGCCAGTTGCCAAGCATTTTAATTCTTATCACATGACCATGGCGATGCTGCAACATTCGTGTGAAAATCGGTCATGAATCACTTTTTTTCAGTGCCGTTGTAACTTTGAACAGTCACTAAATGAACTGTTGTAAGTCAAGGACTACCTGTATTTTTTCTGTCTCTCTCTGTAATGTTGTGTGGTGTGATTGGGAACCGTGATTTTGTTGCCTTGCTTAGTCCTTGATCTACATTAACATCCAGGTTCTCTTCCAGGACTTACCCAGTCTTTGCAAAGTTTGTCCAATAGGTCATCACCACTGCACTTAACATGATGTCATTTTTTGAAAAATTACAAGGAAACAATTCAGTGGGACCAATCATGGGAATTCCTAATACATACGGAACTTCATCTCCATGAGCAGCATCTGCCCAGGCAGGAACCTGATCTGTTTGGCAATGGTGATAGAAGGCATAAAAATATGTAGGTGACCCAAAGTTTGAGTGAAGATCAGCTGTAGCCACTGCTGGTGCCACCCACTGGTGATCAGTAAATAAAGCCAGGAGTGTTTTTCTTCTTGTTTCAGGGTTGTGTCTATCTGCCCAGTCTGTATACATAAATTTAATAGTTTCTCTCAAGATGTCTTTGCCTTCCGGGTACCCATATAAGTTATCGACAAAGTTTGAGACAGCAAAGTCAAAATCACTAGCAGATATGCCGTCTTCACTGTCAACAATGTTTTCCACAAATTTGAGTCCTTCTCCTTGGTTAACACCCAACATAATGTCGTAATTGAGGAATTCTCCCTGTTCCATCAATATCTGAGGATCATCTGGTATCACGTCCCCATCAATAACTGGACCAAAGGCTATGTGGTATCGGGCCGGTTGAATATCCTGATCAACAAGTTCTCTATACGGCTTCTTCTGTAGACATTCTACTAATTCTACCGTGTCCGATACATTGCAACCAACTTTTGTTGCCAACATCCTGGCATATTTTGCAGGCTGAAAACTGACTGCCCAGCTGGAAAGAGCTGTTCCACTTTGAGCTATTGCTCTTTGGAAAAGACCTGTGTGATAAAGTAGAGGATAAAGTTAGGAGGAAACATTACTCAGTGAGGACAATAGATAACATGCTTAAAATATCTGAATTAAGATTTCAGCATTACAAAATAATTAGGAGCAGTGGCAGCAAGTACTACTACCATACAGCCAAAGAAAGCGAAGACTGGCAAATAGGGGACAATTTGTATAATGTGGTGTTAATGGAGCTCTCAAGACGTCTACTGAGATTGTGTATGGCAAGAGTGGCTGTCACAGTTACTCTAACATCCTTCACTCTTTCTATGAGTAATTAGGAAAGAAGAAATATAGAGAAGGACAAGGAAGAGAACAGTAGGAAGAAAGAGGAAAGACTTGATTGGTTGAAATGGGCAACTAAACTATGTGACATACTTATGTCCAAATATGAGCTACACATAATTATTGTAAAATAATAATGAAAAAGAGCAAAACCTATTGGAAGGCTGCTTCCATTGAAAAAGAACTATTAGCAACCACAAACATAGTGATTTTTTAAAATCTCTATTGTGCATTTAGCCCAGTTCTGTGGCACACTTCATTATCCAATTTGAAGGAACCCATTTCAAATTTGTAAAAAAATGGAGATTCATATTTAATGAAAAGGCTTCAATTCCAGTTTCTAGAAGACTGAAGAAGGAAACAAATAGAGTAAACTACAGTTTTGCTAATAAGCCGTGTGTGACAAGGAATACAATCTCAGTTCATTTTTTTTGCAAGTTCCTTTTTTTTTAATCACAGAGATATTTAGTACAGTTTCAGTCTATCTACTTGCAGTAGTTAACTGCCAGTTTTGAGATATTTAATTGAGGAAAAGAAAGAAAATAAACATGCGAAATGGGGCACAATTGATTGCACAGTGTTATTCTAGATTTTTGCATATGGCCTACAGAATTTAGTGCAGGTTGAAACCGTGTTGCAAAAGATTAATGCAGAAGGATTTGTGACTCTCTTTCAAGATATAATTCAGGAAGAATATGCCACATTTTGAAACATTGTTATTCAAAAAGCTACAGGAAGTAATTTTTTTTAACCAGAAAGCCTCATGAATCTCTGCTTAATTTATTTTATTTATAGCTTGTTGCTTCTCTGTTGGTTACTTATATCGTGGAATTTAATATAAACCCTAGAAAACCATTCAGTGAAGTTTTTTCCCCCCCCCATATGTTTCCTAAGTTTGGATTAAGCAAAAAGTTGAACTGGTTTCAAAATCTTATTCTACCAAGCACCTGTAACGGATATTACAGGTAGTCCTTGAGTTATCACCGACATTGAGCCAAACATTTATGTTGCTCAATGAAACAGTTGTTATGTGAGTTTTGCTCCATTTTATAATCTTTCTTGTCACAGTTGTTAACTGAATCACTGCAGTTCTTAAGTTAGTACCAGGTTTGTTCAGTAAATCTGGCTTCTCCATTGACTTTGCTTGTCAGAAGGTTGCAAAAGGTGATCACCGGACACTGCAACGTCATCAATACAGGACAGTTGTTTTGAGCCCTAATTTTGATCATGCAACCAGAGAAATGCTGCAATGGTTGTGTGGCGAAAAAGGTCGTAAGTCACTTTTTTCAGTGCCATTGAAGTGGTTTGCCATTGCCTTCTTCCTAGGGCTAAGAGAGGGGGACTGGCAGAAGGTCACCCAGCTGGCTTTGTGGGACTAGAATAGTCTTCCGTAGAAGTACTACAGAAATAATGAGGCTCATATTTGCACAAACAAAAAAATAGAAACGGTTCTTCCTTTCCTGGTATGTGTGTGTGTGTGTGTGTGTGTGTGTGTGTGTGTGTGTGTGTGTGTGTGTCTTTAAATGCATTTGTTATATAACTCTCAGTTTGCTACACATTCTTTTTTCAGAGGCATTTCGGAGCAATCAAAAGCTCTTACACACCCATGGTTCAAAGATGAAACCTCAAAACCTCAACCTGGAGTAGATTAGGAATTAATGTTGTGGATCTAGAGAAAGATTCAACTATTTTATTGATTCAAAGGCATGAGTGCTATACACAGTCCCATGTATTTGGAAGCACTTCTCTCAAAGGATTAGTGCAGCATAAGCAATTAACTGGAGAGGCCAGTCAGGCAATCGTAAAATAAGGTATTTTAATTGAACGAATGGGACTTCAAGAACCTGACAGGTGAAAACCAAAAAAATAAATTGGAAAATAAGAATACTTCACTGCAGTGAAGGAATGATCTCTCTGGAAACACAGGATCAGGCAACTTAATAGTTCTCAGCATCGTTTAAAGGCAGTGGAAAGCTTAAAAGCTCCCGAAAACTTTATGCAAGTACAGGTATTCCTTGATTTACAACCATTCATTAAGCTACAATTTGAAGCTGCAACGGCACTGAAAAGACTGACAGATGAGCAGTCCACACACTACAGTACAAGAGACTTGGACATTATTATATTGGCAAAGCTTTGAAATCTTGTCACTTCTCCTGATGGTTCCTGAAAGCTCAGCACCTAAAATTGCCTGAAATCTCACACAAGAGACAACACTGACAAATCCTGGAATCTCATATGAAAACTCATTATTTTTCCCCCCATTTTTTTCACATGAGATCTTGGAATATTTCAGGACGAGGATGCAGAAATCTTACAAGAAATACTGATCTTGTGAATTTGGAATAATTTGAAGTTGGGCATCATGCAGGACTGTGTGATGGTGATTGGGGTTCAAAGGATTTCTGACCACTAGGTGGCTACTTAAGCAATTTTTGCTTCTGGCAAATAACTTCAGAGGTTTTTGATGCTTTCCACATTTGCAAAAAACAAAACCCCCAAACATTTGAATAGAGGCTATTACGAGGAAAAATAAGTTTTAATGCAATACACATAATCCTCAACTTATAATTGGGATCTCATTTAACTTAAATCTAGGCACTCACTTGACCAAACTCAATTTTATGATATTTTTTATCATTAAGTGGCTTCACAGTTGTTAAGTAAATACTGTGCTTGTAAGTTTGAACCCATTCTTCTGAATGACCTTTTTTTTTGGCCAGAAACTGTCAAAAACCATTGCAAATTGCAATTACACAATTGAGGGACTCTGCAAACAGTCCTGAGACAGTTGCAAGTGCCCAAAGTGAACATGGGGTGTGGGGGGCTGAGTAACACAATATTTTATGACAGCCAGAAGTGCTTTAGGGACTGTAAAACACCAATTCTAGGCCTGCTGTAATTTCAAATGGTTGTTAAACCACCTGGTTGTAAGTCAAGGATTATCTGCATAGGTTCTGCTGACTTCTTTACAATTTTCATTTTTCTTACAAATGACCATCTGCTTCTAGTCTGACAGAATACTAAGCAATTAAAAAAATTAAATAGCATCAGAGTGAATGGATTCGTGCTTGAAATCTATTACGGCAGTGGTTCCCAAGTAGATACAGTGACCTTGGAAACATTTGCTTCTAAGAAATCCTTCATCTGGAAATGCCAGGTGCATTTCTAAATAGACTGGATTCCTATAAATCACTGAGCAAAGGCCATTGGCCATCCACTTTCTTCTCCATGTCAAACAGCTAATTTATTCTGTAATATGGTGGTAGAGGAAACAGGAAAAGAATGATGGCAAGGGAAAGGTTTTGTAAGCTTTCTATCTCTAGGTATCTCCCTATATACTGATATCTGAAAATGTACTCTGTTCATTAGCAACAAAAGGTAGATTCTGGAATATGGTCAGCAAGTAGATGTAAATTATATAGTCTTTGCAAATGCACTAATATAAAATGGGTTTTATTGGCTTGTTAAGATTAGAGTGTGTGGGGTATGGAGTAGGCATCAAACCAATGTTCCTATGTCTTATTGATTCAATCTTCAAGAATAATGCTAAAAATCCAAAGTCAGGTAGTCCTTGATTTACGACCACAATTGAGCCCAAAATTTCCATTGCTAAGTTAAATGAGTTTTGCCTCATTTTATGACACAGTTCTTGCTATAATTGTTAAGTGAATCCCTGCAATTGTTAAGTGAATCTGGCTTCCCCTTTGACTTGGCTTTTCAGACGGTCACAAAAGGTGATCACATGACCCCGAGACATGCAAGCATCATAAATAGGAGCCCGTTGCCAAGTCCAAATTTTGATCAGTTGACCATGGGGATGCTGCCATGATTGTCAGTGTGAAAAACGGTTATAAATTATTTTTTTCAGTGCCACAGTAACTTTGGACGCTCAATAAATGAACCGTTGTAAATCAAGGACTCCCTGTACATTGGATTCATTGGATTGTTGGGTGTTGTTGCTGACAATGCAGTAGAACTGGCACAGTGTGTTTCTATGGTATATTTTTCTGTTACTAACATTAAGGCAACAGTTCTAGCCTCCCTCCCCTTTTTTATAAAAAAAGAAGCAAAGAATCCAGTAAAGAGAGGGGTTAATCTCTGCTTGTCAGGCAGAATATAAAAACTTTTTTTTAAAAAAAAATGACAAACTACAATTTTCATTGGTTGATATTATTTATTTATTCATTCATTCATTCATTCATTCATTCATTCATTCATTCATTCACCCACTTTACCACGTCTTCTGAATTATGTAGTAGGAAACAGCTAGCAAACTCTACCAGACAGTCATCAACAAGGAGCTTGTTCTGATTACCTACTGCGTCCTGTTCTCAGTCATTTTTGAATGTTGGTCCACTGGGACTCAGAGAACTTGGAAAAGTTCACCAGAACATTTTGAGGGAAACTATTTTGAACCAGAGCTTAGAGCTTTACTCCCCTGTCCCATTTTCAGGCATATCATCATTTACTTGTACATCCAAGCCTTGTAACAGTAATTTAGGCTTGTTTGCTACATCAGAATTGGAAATACATCTATCTCAAGTTGTGGTTCTCATTTTGGTTTGGAGGGCAAATGTCAAGAAAGGTAAGTTGCTCTTTGAATATAATTACTAGTTATAGACTGTCACAAAGAGATT